GCTATGTTTCACCCTGTGCCTCTCCTGTGTTCATCCCTGTCTTGGTTATTGTATTTTGTTCTTGTTGATAAGTTTGTTCAGTGTTTCCTGTTTTATTTTGTAGTCCTTGCTCCCTGTGTGTTTTCACCTATTGACTTCCTGCCCTCATCAGGTTCACCTGTTTGTCTTGTGCCACCTGTCCCCAGTTACTCATTAGTTCCAGTGTGTATATAAGTCTTTGTGTTCCCCCCTTGTGGTTGTTGGTTCGTCATTGTCGTTTCTGGTCAGGTCCTGTCCGTCATCTCGATTCTGGTTCTGTTCTTTTCATGTGTCCTGTCAGCTCTCGTCACGTTTCCCCCTAAGTTTGTCCTTCCCTTCCCTTTTTCCCTACTGAGTCCGTTCCCTGTCCCCCCTCTCACGTCACCCTCCACCGAACCCTGACACTACAGATAAGGGGGAAGTTAAAGTTTTTTTTTTTTAATCACTTTAACATTTTCACAGGTTTCCCAGAGGATAATTTTGAGAGAAGAAAATCAAAGTTTGTATTTATCAGTCCAGGACGTGTTACAGTTGATAATTCAGCTTTGTTTTGTTACTAAGTGCAGCTCTGCTCATAATCACCCACGACAGAAGAGCCTAAGGCACTATACGAACCTCAGGTTGTCATGGCGACTGGAGTCTGGCTTCAAAGCTGCGGTGCTGTGCATCTTATGTAAGGTCATCACCAAGACAACAAGGTTCAACTGAGGTCAAAAAGGAAGAAACAAGGTCAAACACAGTTAAATAATGACTCAACATAAAATGATAACATGTTTGTGATTAATATGAAAAGTTTGGGATGTGTGTGAGCATGAACTCTCACCATGATGATGACAGCACCAGGTCCAAGGAAACTCCAGATGAAGTAGTTGTCTGTTCGTAGCCAACATCTACACACACACACACCAAGAAATATACTGATGTTGGAATTGGTTCCATAAATAAATGTACTCATCTACACAAATACACAGTCAACTTACGCCGTCTTTGAGCCATAGCCTCTGAAGTCTATTGCTGCAGACACGGCCACCACCAACCCAGGAATGGAGTAGCCACACAGGTAGAAATACTTCCTCCTGGAGTTGCGACCCTCAAATACCTCCCGCTGCAGCAGGTAAAGTTCCACCCCCTCCAGACACAACCAGCAAAACACTGAGAGCAGCGAGAAGTGCAGCAAGCCAGCAATGATGGAGCACACCACCTGTAGAGTGACACAATGGTACTTTAGGCCCCAAAAAGCTGCTTTACAAACCATATCAAATCATTTCTGATACCACAATATTATCCTTAGTATTATACATATTGTTAGCCTTTCCAATACTTCAGTGTTATATCAGTCTAGTATCTCAGCACTCACTGTGTACTGTGTCTTGTTGGCGCCAACAAGGAAGAGCAGTTCAGTGATGAGCAGGTTGGCCCACAAGTTGCAGTGGATGGTGCTGTGGTCTGTGTGCCAGGGTGCCCCCTGGCAGCACAGGGTTGTAAGGCAGGTGGCCAAACACACCAGTGCTACAGAGATGCCAACCCAAGAAACCACATAGACCAGAAGCTCTTCTACGCCGACCCCGAACTGGTGAAGAGGAGAGAAGATACAAAGTTAATCATAAAGCGTGCATGTATGAATGCTGTTGACGCAGGTCGGTGATGAGTATTTTTGTGGTTAAGGAATGAAGTGTGTGTGTGTCTTTGCCTCTGGTTGTGTGTCCTTGTGTCAAATATATGGTATAAACACTCATCAAAAACAACATTTGAATTCAATTTCCTGGCAGAGGAAAATACCCTGCAGCTTAAATCACTCTCTTTCTTTCTCTCTCTCTCCTACAGCTACAACCCACATTCATCACCCCCTCTCTGCTTGATTTTTAAACAGCATTTCGGAGAGCGCAGTGGGGGTGAAGTCCTACTGTGCTATTGCGAATGGGTGCATAGTTGTCAGGAGGACTTAAGAGTATGAAGATGGAGGTTGGAGGATTTATAAAATTAATGTCTGGCTCCTGGGAGTCTAAAAAGCATTAGTAATATTAATGTCTAACATTGGCCTTTCAATCTCTCGGTCATTGCACCACTTAATCATAAATGCAAGAATTATGATAATAGAAAAAAAATCATTATAACCTCACATCAGCTGCTGACCACATACACACTAATGTAAGAAAATAACGGTTTGTCTTTGAAGTGATGAATTATGTACAACAATTAAGTACAATGTAATTTAGTATATATTTCACTGCAGTTAGTTATGTTGTGTGCTAACCCTCACCCTGTTAATGTATAAATAAAAAATAAATGAACATCACACATTGTATCAACATTAATTTATAGGTACCTCAGCTTTATGCAAATAAGAATGAATGACTTTACATAAGTACTTCTTTAAAATAACTTTGAAATCTATTCAAAATTAAACCTTTTATTATATTTCAGAAATTGACTTTACAAACGAATCAGATAGGAACAACATTAAAAACGGAGTAATCTGTATTTTTGTAGTTGTGAGGATGGTGTATATAAATATAATCTAGGATATGGTGTGTATAAATGGTTAATCTCTTACAGGCTAAGAAAATAGAACAATTCAATGAGATATATTGGCAGTAAAAATTTAATTATTTTGCTTCTGTCTGCTGTGACGGTGAATTTAATAGTGTGACATGCTGTTTTTGTGGTGTGTGTTACTTACAACAGGTTGCTGATAAGTCATGAGGACAGCATAGCTGGACAGGTGGTTGCAGGCGCAGGTAGTGTGTGTGTTGTTGGTGTGCAGCAGGCGGCAGCCCTGCGTCGCCCACCTGCCGCTCCCAGAAAACCCTGTTGTGTTCCAGAAGGAGCAGTTGGGGCCAAAGTGGTTCTCCAGCTGCAGAGACAAACACACAGTGACCACGTTGTTCACAGCCAGAGGTTCGCTCATTCTGGGTGTTAATCTTGAGGTAAACACACCTGCAGGTGCCTGAGGGTGAAGATCACGGGCTCAGAGAGGTACACTCTGTTGGATCCTCTGTGCACAGAGGCAGAGATCACATGGGAGTTGACCACCAGGCTCTTACGCCTGACCTCTGAGCCCTGGCCCAGCCCCAGCCCGAGCCTCAGAGTGGAATTCTGGGTTGTCAGGAAGGAGCCCAAGTTCTTATAGAGAGAGAGGACCAGCTTCACCTGGCCTGCAGAGGACAACCAAAGAGGAGAGGATGACACAGTGAAGAGGGGGACATTTATATCCTTTTTCATAAGGTTAATGACTTTTTTCCTTTACTTTAATAATGAAAAACTAGTGTCACTTCCACAATCCATTACTTGTCCTATCCATGGTCTATTGTGCTGCGTACACTTCTGAGATTTACTTGTACAAAATGTTCATGAGTCTCATTGCATGTCACAGACCATTGTTGCTGTACTGCTGCAGCGCCAGAGCTGATATCTGCAAGATGCTGTCGCTGTCGTAGGAGTGAGGGAACGTCAGGTCCTGTATGTCCGCCTCTGTGTTTAGCACATACACCTCCAGATCTGTACATGAACAGGCACGCACACAGAAGTCTGGATTAGCTGGTGACTTTCCACAAGGTGTAAAAAAAACCCCACTGACCCGCCACGTACCAACATTTGGTGCTCTGTCACTGAAACGGCCTTCGTATAGGTTGTTGGCCAATAGAAACGCTCCTTTCTCGACTGCGTCTAACAGCAGTGATGCGGAGCGTGATTGGTCCACACTGCTCATGTCAGCCCAGGACACGAGAGCCTCTGGACCCAACAGGTTATCAACTGTCTGAACGACAGCCTGACAAGAAGAAAGATTTGTTATTAATTTATCCATCTTTATCTATCTATCTATCTATCTATCTATCTATCTATCTATCTATCTATCTATCTATCTATCTATCTATCTATCTATCTATCTATCTGTCTGTCTGTCTGTCTGTCTGTCTTTCTATCTATTGTTTACCTGAACGTAAGCTCTGCAGGTGCGTTCCCTCTTCTGCAGCTGAAAAGAACAAAAGCATTTATAGTGAGAGTCATCATAGTCTGACATTTTCAGCTTTCATTTCCAGCAAAGGTCAAGTACACATCCACTCTGACAACAGGAAGCATTTACCTTGTTGTAATTGCGTGCTGCAGACTCTTTATTGGCTGGTCTCAGGGCTTGGAGCTGGGAGTCCAGAATGTCCAATAACTGTTCAATTAGCCTGACGGACATGCTGACATCACCGGCATAGATCCGCCCCCTGGTCAGGTTGACCAACTCCCCGGCGATGTTGGCTGCGTTCTCTCCGCTCTTAATCTAGAGTGAGGCGGGGGCGTTTATAATGTCAAATATTTTGACATTCAAGGGGGAACGGCTTGCTGTCTGGCTTTAGGACATTTGCACAGTGTGTGTGACTGTGTGTGTGTGTGACTAACCTTCTGTGCAATTTGGCTGACCCAGGGAGAGGTACAGTTGGAAAGGTCAGGCCCTCTGGAGCTCCAGCCCACTGGAGATGACATGCACTGATAGGAGGCTATACCTGCAGAGACACACACCATGACAAAGACAGTCGAAGAGGAGAGAGGACAGGTCATGTTCTACAGATCCTGACGTGAATCATCTGACACAAAATATTCATGAAATATACTGTACACCTGGAAAAAATGAAATCTAAAAATATGAAGAAAAAATAAATATGTCTCTGTAAATGATGCTAATAGTTTTTTTAAATCTTTTTTGGATGTTTCTGGTCAGGAAAGGTATCTGCACTAATATACGTTTTGACCATTTGGGGATGGA